ACGGCCGTGTAATTCAAAACTAATTATTGAAACCTAAACTACTCCTTGAACAATTATAGTGTGATTATCTTCCTCCTGCACGTGATTTTCCCAACTACCCACAAGGCCAGTTCAATAACACAAGCGCTTTATGTTCCGCCAAACCCACGCTGTGGTGCTGCGCATGCGCGATGGACAGACACGCCCACATCCTGACGTCACGGCAGCAGGCGTGTTTTCAGAGGAAAGCAGAGAAGACCGAGAGAAAGAGACCATGTAAAACACACTGTTGAGGGGACATAAGGTATTTACAGCCTTGTCAGTGTGGGAATGAGATGAAACAGCCCTGAAAGACTCAAAGTTTCCTCCGTTGGAGCCGTGTGGGTAACGCGTTTGTTTGTTTTGAAGGTATTTCTCGCGCGCGTGTGTGTGTGTGTGTGTGTGTGTGTGTGTGTGTGACTCTGTAATTGCTTTGGTTTGGTTTGTGTAAAATCTGTGTGCAAGTCAGAGCAGGAAACACAGCGGGTTCTCATCAGTTTCGTTTCTTGTCTTGTTCATATGCTTTTGTGTTGATGGTATTGTAGGATAATTCGAAGAAGGCATCCAAAGGACATTTATATCCACTGATCTGACCATCAGAAATCGTTTCTCATCATTTAAAACCTAATATAGATTCACATGTTCCTATAGAAAACCATGTATGTGCAGCTGAACACTACGCTAACTGACACACCCTTGTTCTAGTGAATGCATTATAAGTTTCGTTGTGTACGATCATACAGTGGAGGCTGCAGGGCATATTGTTGACCTCGATGTGTATAGTTATTAGACAGATTTCAAGTGTGTGTGGGAACACTCTCTTGTAAAAAAAAAAAACATGCACGCATGTTTACTTGGCTATCTAAATGGGGACATTACAGACTTCTATTGTTTTTATATACTGATAGTATGTGAAATACACTATCGATTAGTTTATTTTATCTAAACCCACCCCTACCCCTCACAGAAAACTTTCTGCATTTTTACAATTGAGAAAAAAAAAAAAAAAAACTTTTTTTTTTTTCAATATATCTCAGTTTTACAAATGAGGATGTCCCCAAATGGAGGTTTTTGCTCACTTTTGGGTTCAAATTTGTCCCCAAAATATGGTTAAGTAGGCACACTCACTCTGGAGCAGTGACACCCGAGGAGCAATTGGGGGTTTGGTGCCTTTTAATGGCACCTCAGTCACGGGTATTGAAAGGCTCTCTTCATTCACTCCTGCCCCCCTACATTTCCTGCTGGTACTGAGACTCGAACCCGTAACCTTTGGGTTACAAGTCTGACTCTAACCATTAGGCCACAACTTCCCTGATATGGAGTGTATAAGTGTGTTAACTTTGATTCTTAAGATATTTTATGCTCTGATTTACTAGTTTGTTTACTGTTCTTCGCTATGCACTTGATTTTGTTCACTGTAAAAGTGATCGTGATTTTAACAGTAAAAGACTAAAAATGCTACAGTAAGTTTCCATACTGAATATGGGGAATAACTGTAATTGCATTTAATGTAATTTTAAAATTACGTTTTTTGGAAGTTTAAAAAAAGTAATTGTATTGTAAATTGACACTCCCAGAATTCCCTGCGTGACCCTTCACATTTGTTTTTCATTGAAACGCTTATCATTTGTGTACATTAGTTTTATCTAGTGTCTAATGTTGTTAAAGGAAATGTAATTGCATTATTTCAGTATCGGGTGTCACCATGAGGGTGTTTGTGTGAATGACACTGTGCACCTTCTATATATTAGTATTGCTCTCTCCAGCTTGTGGAAAAGCGGTTTGTGATGAGCTTTGAATCATCATGTGACTTTCTCATCACCACCTGTTAATGCTGGTTATTACAAAGGTACAAAATGATATTAGCCTAGAACTTCAGTAGGTTGGAATATTAACAGTATATTAGGTAATGAAATGTTTTTTTTTGTGAAGTTAAATCCGTAAAGCCTAAAATGCTGCTACCCTATTATTTTACAAAGGTACAAAATGATATTAGCCTAGAACTTCAGTAGGTTGGAATATTAACAGTATATTAGGTAATGAAATGCATAATTTATTTATTTTTTTTTTTTTATGTGAAGTTAAATCCGTAAAGCCTAAAATGCTGCTACCCTATTTTTTTTTTTTTTAAGATTAAGTTCTGGCAACCGTGTGTGTGTGAGAGAAACTGTTGGATTTTATATATATATGTGTGTGTGTGTGCGCGCGCGCGCGCGTTACACAAATAATCTGTATGAAGGTATCTTCAGGGGTTGGACAAATTGCTGTTAGCTAGGGCTGGGCAGTATATCGACTGACTGACTGACTGACTGACTGACTGACTGACTGACTGACTGACTGACTGACTGACTGACTGACTGACTGACTGACTGACTGACTGACTGACTGACTGACTGACTGACTGACTGACTGACTGACTGACTGTTGGATTTTGTGTGTGTTACACAAATAATCTGTATGAAGGTATCTTCAGGTGTTGGACAAATTGCTGTTAGCTAGGGCTGGGCAGTATATCGAGTTATTTTTTTTTTTTAATATATAAGCAATATGGTATGAGGCAGTACCGTTTATACCAATATACAGTAGTTTGATATGAGCGCATCTGAATAATAGAGAACACTGAGTGAGCTGCTGCGGGTGTCGAAGATTTTTATTAATCAAAATATGAATTAATCAAGGCGACTCTAGCCATTTATTTATACAGTTATTCTTCCATTATAATCCTAGAAGCCTGGGTGTAAAACAGCCTGCATAGCTGAAATATAAAGACCCTCAGAGAAGAAACATCTGGAAAAATACAAGTGGGGCTTTTTTCTTTACCATAAGACTTGGGGGGGCTTTTCTCTAGGGAGGAATCGGATTGTATGTATAAGGAAAACACTATGACATGTATACCCCTCACCTTAAAGTTAAAACTGTATAAAAAGAGAGACTGAAAAACATTCTGGAGATTTTTCTCTGCCGAGAACTTCTCGGCTTTGTTCAGTTTGACTGAGTGTGATTCCTCAGAGCAGCGGCTGACGACACTACACGGGGAAAGTGCATAATGCAGTTTGTCCTAAACACGACATCCCTTTAATCCACTTATTTTTTGAGATCTATGATCGAGAATGTATTTAACTTAAGTGCTATGAAAATTGTATTTGTGTAATGAGCTGCTAAAAAGATGCATGAAGGCGTTTTGGAGAATGAGGAGAGAGGAATGCTGTAGAAACGCATGGAGAAGATTCCTGGATCCTTTTAAGATTGTGTTGCATTAAGTTGTCAGTGTCTGTGTGTGCACAGGTGATCGTGATGGAGAAGTGTCTGTGGTGCACCAAGTCCCTGGAGGTGGAGGGTGACGTGGCGATCGTCACCATGCTGCGTCACTACAGCTCAGGACGGCTGTCTGAGAGAGAGATGGACTCTCTGAATGAAGACCTCAGCTGCTGTCTGGAGTGTGTGGTGGAGTATCATCGAGCCAGAGACCAGGTCCCTGATCTGCACAAGGTACGCAAACCACAAGCAAAAGTCTTCCAAATTTGCTCTGCAAAGGTGGAACAGAAGTACTTCTGAAGTTTCATTTCGTTTTAACACGGACCATTTAATGAGGTTCGGAGGTTTACTTTCATACTGAGGTGGGGTCAAAGCAGGATTAATTTAGTCTGTCTTTATGCAGAATTTTGAGCAGGCACAGAGCAGCTGTGTAAAGACATGGAAAATGTTAAATACCGATCCAAGAATCCTCTTGTATGGGCCCTTTTCACAAACTGCAACCGGTTTCCACTGTTTAATATTCTTTGGGGAAAATGCCTCTTTTCTGCATGAAACACTCAAGTTGCAGAGTTCAGATGCCAAAATCAGACTTTATTTGTTGGAGACAACAAATTTGAAATGCTTGCGGAGTGTCTGACCATCTCGCTTGCTATTTACACGGACATTTTTAAGCAATGATTTCATTGCAGGTGTTGTTCTTTTCTCCTCCGTGATCTCCCCAGTACTCCCTAATTCTCCTGCCGCTGTGTTAGCCTAACTAATTGGCTATTTTGTTCCTATTTTGACTGCCAACTAGTCTGTCAGAACATTTAAATTTGTCACAAAGTGATTGTTCTGTGTATTTGCCTCGTTTTTTTTTTTTTATCAAAAGAATGTTGAAGGCCATGTGAACCTAAAGTGCAACTGAGGGAATGACGGCAAAGTTGGCATCTAATCAATTTCAAGTTATAATCATAAAAAAATACCCATAATCTGTTTCTTGGGGTTTTTTTTTTGGGGAGGGGGGGGCGTCGGCGTCATAGAAACACTATCATTGACTTAAAAAAATTTTTTTCTGGTTTTGGAGCAAATAGAAATGCAAAAAGATTGTTTCGATAAAGATATCGTCGTCCTCCAGCTCCTTGTCCAGAACAGTTCCTAACAAACGCACGAGTCGATCTCGCACACTACCAAACTTTCAAGTTGTTCCAATCACAACAAACTTGCACAGAAACGCGTGCCTTCTGTTTAATCCAAAATGCTGAAATTTATGCTCTAGGAAGGTCAAAAGTGCGTTTTTAACAACAGCCATGGAAGTAAATGGAACAAGTGAATGCTATTACTAAATCTGTCTCAAGTAGTCTGGACTTAAGTTATCTATAGCAGATTAAGTCAAAAATATCCATGTAGTCAATGTTATTTTTATGTTCTGCCAAAAATAAATGCTTGTTTCAGTGCAGGAAGTTGGTCTGTTTTTATGATTAATTGGATTCATGACGGTTTTTCCAATGTGGTGTCACCAATTCAATACAATATAACCAAGATGTAACGATTCCTTATTTACATGCACAATCATGATAGACGTTCAGGAGAGATTGAATAGATGGATAATCCGTTGCAAGACAAACCACATGTTGAGTGTATGTGTTCTAGTAATGGAAATCCCAAATTATGCATTTACATTTATGCATTTAGTAGACTTTCATTCAAAGCAGCTTGTGTTGCATTCAAGATTATACATTTTATCAGCACATGCATTTCTTGAACAGAAGACCTTGTTGTTTTCAACATGTTTCTACTCCGCACATCTCTTCTCTAGCTTGCTTTCTAATCTAGTTGTCTAATTAAACTGGCATTGTATGTTATGAATATTGTTGGATTTATAAATTAATTGCTTTAGATCCTCATTTGGAAGTCACTTTAAATAAAGGCGTCTGGTAAATACATTATGGTAAATGTGGTGTTCTTTTGAGCTTGCATGTGACCTCATAGACACTAATTCTCACTCTCTTGCAGCGTTTGTGGGAAATGGAGAAAGCTCGACTCGTGCGTTTGTTGGGAACCGTTCTGGACCAGGAGCTGGAGGAGGACGATATCTTTATTATCGAAGATGATCACGAGGAGCCAGTGTCGAAGATCTCGCCTGCAGAATTCCACGACCGTCTCCGTTTCCCGCTGTTCGAAGTTCTTAAGTATCCGTACCTGCTTTGCTACCGTGATCTGTGTAAGTCACGCTCCCATATCCAACTTCATTTCGTGTGGTGCAGCGGGTGGTTACAATTCTGATGAAATTTTATAGAAGACATTTGTAGAAGTTGTTTTGATCTCATGAGTCATATGCGTTTTAAAGGCCTCGTGGCCTACATGAATGAGATTGTCTATGAAGGGTGCAAGAATGCGTAATGTGCACGCTGCATGCAAAGATTATTAAAACCTTGACAGCTCATATGTAAAATGTATGCCTCTGGGCACCTGGAGAGGGTTAAATAATCCCACAATTGAAGAATCGAGAGAGCTAATAATTGTGGAAAGCAAGGGGAGTGACATGCATTAAAGCGTGGCTAATATGCTTCTTGGACAGAGACTGATAACGAAACACTAAGAATGGAAGCTTGGAAAGAGACCAATTCAGCTGGCATCTCGGCTTTGTTTTTTTTTTTTTTTTTTTTTTTTTGTTTATTTATTTATTAATTTTTTTCCCCCCAATGCCCCAAAGTTTGCACGGTCCTCTACCTCTTAATGGGTTCGACCATTTTATTTGACATTTTTATTTAATGCGTAATAGCACCCCTACCAGTGGAAAAACATGGATTGCCTAAAAATTTGGTCAGTGAAAGTTAATATAGAAACTGGATCTTTGAAAGAGAGGAATTGGTTTGCTCTAGTGTCTGCCTACTGTAAAATAAGTGTAACACTGTCTTAATCGGGTGCATATTAATCTTGAAACTTGCTGTATATGACATGGTGTCAGGTTGACCTGGAATTGTCAAAATTGGTTCTCATTGTTCATCACTTGGTGAGTGTCACCTTTTTGAAGTCATGTTCTTTTGTGCCCTACAGGTATCTGTATGTTACTAACACAGCTCAGCGCTGAGGCAATGGACTCCCTGTTCATGGGACAGTTTAACATCCCACTTTGCATACTCAACACAATGGAAGGATTGAAAAATGGTATGTCATGATGTGATGGGATGCAGTAGATTTAAAATGGGTCCTCTTAAAAAGTTCCATTGTGTTTTTCAGAGGACAATCCAGCTTCTGACCCATTCTGGCCAGCCCTTCACTGTTTTATGGTAATTCTGGACCGACTTGGTTCTAAGATCTGGGGTCAGGTTGACCCTAATATGGCTTTCCAGACAATCACCGGAGCAGCCAGCTATGTTGCGGAAATAAAGAACATCCAGAAAAAAACCATGCGGTAAGAAAGTCTTGACGAGTTTATACAATGCTGAAATGCAGTCATTGCATGGAACAATATTAAACTCCGAACACATTTAATATTGCTTTACATGGACTTTGTCACACCACAGAAAAAGGTTAACCACCCAGCCAAATTTGAATGATAAAAGTAAATAAAATAAGTTATCAATCTTGAAAAAAATAGCAGTGTTCTCTGCTCTCAAATGCTGTCAGTGCTGAAACCATGCCCGCTCACAGGAAAGCTGCCGCCTCTCTCAACTGTCAAATACTGCTACAACCTGAATGGATACTCCTAGCAGATAAATTGGATTTACACAGCCATGCATGCATTTACGTGACTAAGGCATAGCTAGCAAGCAAACTGTAGGCTGTAGTAACTAACGGTAATGACAGTAACTCGTGATTGAGCGGACGAACCACTGAAGTTTGTGCGCTCATGCTCCAGTGCGTCATCGAGACATGATTTCAGGCCTGTCCAAAAATCCTGAACCCAAAAATGGTGAGAAACTATTTGACATGACATGTGGCCAAGTATGGTTACCCATACTAGGAATTAGTGCTCTGCATTTATCCCATCCCAAGGAGGCCGACTCTCTAACCATTAGGCCACAACTTCCCAAAGGTCTAAACATGTAAAAGATGTTCAAGGTCTACAGTAACTCCACAATTCAGTACTACATTGTTCACCGTCTTTGTAACGTGTTTTCAGCAATAAATTTCTAAAACTTAATTTGTTGAGAAACAATTGTGAATTGTCTTTACACGGACTTTAAATGCAATACACTCATGGCACTGCTTGTCATTGTGGGTCTGCTCTTCAAAAGGCAATCATTATTTATTTTGAAAAAAGAAGTACAGTGATTTTGCCTTTAAAGAATAAAAAGCATAATTTATGGCAGAATGAAGCATAATCCATGAGGAGGAGGAGGAGGAGGATGATGACGATGAACCCCTTGATGTCAGACGAACCCGTTTGATAAAATCGGTCAACCCCAAGGTTGAATCTAGCGACTCCGAAGTTGACAGTAGTGCTGTTGGAAAAACTCATAACAGGTCCATGGGCAGCTCACTGGAAAATGTGAAGTCCAGTACCATTGTTATCTCTGATGAGGATTCTGGTAACGATGAAAGGCCAAATGACATCCTAAGGTCTCCAGAAGATCGTGTCATGCCTGAGAGCCCGGGTCGTGATTATGATGATCTCAGTGAATCACAGGTCTTCGAGTTTGAGACCCAGCAATATGTGGCATCCTCCTGGGATGATTCAGATTTTGATGCATCAGTCTTGACGAAGAAGCCCAAATCAGACCAACTACTCAAACCACAGGTGGATGAAGCTCCTCGTGACGCGTCTCCAAGTTCAGAGACTGAACTAATTCTAGATGAGGACACTGAGAGGGCCTGTCAGCAAGCAGAAGATAAGATCAGAGAGCAGCAGCCACAAGAGCCAGCGGATTCATGTGCATCGTCATGGTCCAAAGCATCCAGTACTGCAGAAAGCTGGGATAAATTTGTCAAACCAAAACCTCTGCTGGTTAGAAGTGCAAAAACAACTCCATCTGATAAGAAAAAGCCATTGATAATTGATGCCCTTGCGCAAAAAATCAGACGCCACCCCTGGAAACGCAACTCCACATCTCAGGACGTAGAGGAACCCTCCTCTTCAACTACTCCATCCTCATGTGGTATATCACCTTCTCCGTCCTCCAGCTGTGTTTCCTCTTATTTTTCTGCCCCCAGTTCACATGGCACCCCTGCCATTGTTCCTCCAAAGAAGGTGCGTAAAGTTGTTGAGCCAGAATCAACAGCAGAGCGTTTAGGATTAAAAAAGAAGGAAAGGAAAGCCTTTGAACTTTCTCAGCGTTCCCTGGATTGTGTTGCTAAACTGAGGTGCCATGGCCAAAAAGTGCAGGTGGAACCACAACAGAAGACAAGGCGAATGTGTCGAGCCACTAAGACTTCTCCACAGAAACGTATTGTAAAAAGCAACAAGAAACTTCTGGGATCGCAAGATATTCAGTTTTTCAGGCAAAGTCGTGAGAAGCATCAGAGGCTAACAACAGCAGGAGCCATCGCAACATTCGCTTCCAAACCAGCAAAGATCAATCAGCCGGGTGAAGTGCACTTGCCGAAACCTACAGTTGCAAGCAGCGAGGCTGGTGATTTCTTTCCCTGTCCTCCGCCGAATCCTGACCATCAGCAGGATAATGAAAATGCTGCATCAGAAACCAGTTCTAAAGGTGATGGGGTTGGAAATAATAAGAGAATAGAATCCAAGTACTTCCAAGTCAGTGAGACTGCTGATGTCAACATGGAAGAAGAAAAACCTACTTGGGCATCAAAAGAGCAGGAGGAGGAGGAGGAGGATGATGATGATGAAAAAGAAGGGATGTTCCTCACTCAGATGGAACCCACCGATATGGAACTGTGCTCTCAAATGGAGCAGTTGGAGGAAGAAAATGGTGAAGAACTCTTTCTTACCCAGAGAGATCCGGTTGACATGGACATTGATACGGATAGTGAGTCAGATACCCCGGGGCAACTAGTGTTGACACCTAAACCAACTCTAACTCATAATGGTGGAAATGATGATCATTTGTTCTTGAAGCCTGGCATGTCACCCATGTCTCAGAAAAAGGCCAAACCTTCCACTACAAAAATATACACCCCCAGCTCCCGCAGTGCCTCACTTGTCCTTGAAATGGAAAAAGGAGCTAAGCCTCCTTCTGGTGCTAATGTTGCTAAAGCGAAGATTCCCCGACTGCCCCCAACAAAGCCACCTCCGAAAACATTTCAACCTCTCCATCCCTCACAATTCCCGAAGCCACTTCCTTCACAGCAATCTCCTTATGCTCCTAAATTGGTCACTAGTACTAAAATAAGCTCTACCTTGGAGCCACCATCTTACAAGGTATACCAAAGACCTGAGCCTCCAGTTAACAAACCAGTACCTGCGACGGATCAGAGCCTGAAGTTTGACCTTTCAGTCTTGACCCAAGCAATCCTTAAATGGGAATATAGGATGCTTGACAATTACAAAGCATTTGGGAGTCCACATGATCTTTGCCAACTACCGCTGAAGAAGGTGCCAGTTACGTTTCCCAGCTACCTGGAGTACTTCAGCACCTTGTATCCCCTGCTGCAAATTAATGCATTTGAAGAGGTGGGACTACATCTTATTTCTGTAATGCCTCAATATTTGGATGGAGTTAGGACTGAATCTTATACAGTTAATTTGTAATAGAGTGCTATGCAGTAGGACAAGAACAAAGATAAGAATTGGACTTTGTACCAGTGTTAATGTTAATCAATTTCAATAGATGGCTGGTGAATGGCTCAAAGAGGGCAGAGTCAAGCTTCACCTAACAGTCCAGGGTATCGAATACAGCAATCGCACAGCTAGTGCCAGCTTCACAGGTAAGTCCAGCCATGTTCAGTAAAGTGTATTCTGATACAATTACAATATTTAATTGTTTCAGCTGGGGGGGGGGTATACTTTCAAGTATCAACCATTTCATAAAGTTTTACTACTTTTTGTAGCAAGCATTTCTCAGGAAACTGATATGAAACAACTCTACCCGAAAGAAGATGACCTTGTGCTTCTTTGGTTGCCTGACAACACTGGGGCATATGCCCATGATGAACCTAATTTCCATGAACCACATCCTCATTTCGGTTATGTGTCCCGGTCCAGTGTTTCTAACAGAGATCCAGGTGTGTGACTTGTGTTGTGTCATGGGATTGTGTACATTTTGTCCACTGTCTCATTACGCTGTCCCTCATCAGGTTCCAGGTCAACCCTAAACTTGACGATTCAGACTCGTGGTAATGTATCTTCTGTGAATTCCCAACCTGTGCTCTGTGAAGTTATTGGGTCATTGATCAGCATATTCCGGGAGTTCCGTGCGCTGTGTTTGCTGCGAAATAGACCAATGTTGCGACCTCTTCTTGCTCCAAATGGGTCTTATTTCACACACACTCTGGATAGCCCACCGGACCTGGATTCACCGGTGAGTTTGGGTTTATCTGAAGCAGTTTTTCCTAATCCTGGTCCCAGGGACTTAAAGCATTGCACATTTTGAATGTCACCTTTGTTTAATTCACCAGGTTTAAATCATCACTTCTTTAGCAGAGAGTTCATAAACTGAACTGGGCGTGTCCAATAAGGGATGCAAACCAAATGTGCTGTGCTTGGCTATAAGCATTTTCGTCCAAATTCACTTTGTAAAATGTTTTGCGTCAATGTAACCCTAGACAACTGTTCTTGTTTGTGTTTGAGCTTGAGTACCTTTTGTTGGATGAATGTGTAAGTCCAATAAGTGAACCTGATTTTGATCCCACATGTTGTCATAATGTGTGCTCTCTCTTTTGCCATTTCTTTCTTTGCATTCTAGGAGTTCAACAGGGACCAGGCAAGAGCAATAGCTTGTGGTCTTGCCATGATACAGAGAACGCAGAAGACCCCAAAATTTCTCCTCATTCATGGTCCTCCAGGAACCGGGAAGAGTAAAACCATTGGTGGCCTGTTGTACAAACTACTGTCTTCGGTATTTTTTAAATTATTATTATTATTATTATTATTATTATTTTTTTTTTTATCTTTATGCCTGCGTACTGTGCATGCTCACAAGGACACCTTAATCTGCAGCTTTCAAGATACTACTTTTTTTTTTTAGATTTTTTTTGCTGAGTGTTTTGTGTGGTTATCTGGTCAGGGTACTAACAGTGCTGCTCCTGCGGGGAACTTTCACTCCAAGTCTCGACGGACCCGTGTTCTTCTCTGTGCACCCTCAAACGCTGCCATCGACAGTCTGATGAAGAAAGTCATTTTGATCTTTAAAGAGAAATGCCGAAACATCACCGCTCCTCAAGGTTCTGAGCTTGCGCACACATTGACGACTGAAAAAAGCATGTATGCCATATACTGTCACATTAGAGCATGTTTCACACAACACTTGTGTACAGGTAACTGCGGTGACATAAACCTGGTACGATTGGGAAGTGAAAGGACCATCTCGAAGTCACTAAAACCTTTCAGCCTCGACCACCAGACTAAAGCTAGAGCACGTGAGAAATTCATGCATTTACGTTTCAATAGTTAATGCATATGCTTGTGGTGTTAATGTATTTTGTGTGTGTGTGTGTGTAGAGCGAGCCCAGCAAACTGTAGAAGCTGACATACACCGGCAGAAAGAGCAACTGGACCAAAATATTGACAATCTCTCCCAGCGATGTGCAAAGACCAAGAAGGATTCTTCTGAGGTAATGCATCCTCCACACACAGTTTTCTAAGAGACAAAGAATATGGATATCACATTTATTTTTGTTTTAATGCGGTCTTGAATTTTATTCATGGGTTGGTTGACAGTTCAAGATGTTGATAGAGCAGAAGTTGCAGCTTCTGAAGGAGAGAGAAGGACTGAGTCGGCAGATTAAAGAGGTAAATCGTCCCATTTGTTCACAGACATGTTTCACAGTACTTGCTCTATTAATACAAACAAACGTACATTTGTCTCTTTCTTAGTGTCGCAGTAGGCGACAGGAAAGTCAAGCTCTTGTGCTGCAAAATGCTCATGTGATCTGCTGCACGCTCAGCACCAGTGGAAGTACTGTCCTCGAGAATGCTCGTCTCGGACATGAACCGTTTAGCTGTGTCATCATCGATGAGGTACCAAAATCTCTTATAGTTTGATTCCATGAAATGTGTTTATATTTGGTCGAATACAAAAGTATTATAATTTTACTTACCGTCAATTGACATTTCCGATGAACAATCTCTGCTAGTGCAAAGTTAAGATGACACAATCAAAACTACATGATGTTCGTAATATCATGTTTTATTTGGCTTTTGTCATGGTGTGCACTTATCAGTGTTTATTTAAAGAATATAAGGTTTATATCATAAATCCACTAATACTCCTAACAACTATATTTCCTAGCCACTTTGTTCATCTTTGCACATTTGTAGGCTAGTCAGGCTAAAGAAACTGAGACTCTGATTCCCATCCTGTACCAAAGTCCTGCTGTAATCCTTGTTGGTGATCCCAACCAGCTTCCACCAACGGTTGTCTCCCAGGTAACTCACCATATTAGTCAGAGTATTTGTGCACTGCAATTTTAAACAAATGGTTAGAATTTTCTGTGTAGGTCTTTTTTGTGTAGGCGACTTTCCTCATAAACCATTAATAAATACATTTATGGTATTCCCAGTCAAAAATGACAGGCCTACAAAAAATGTCCTATATTGTTTGTTTTTATTATGCCATGTTATTACCAAATATTGGATTCAATCTTTTTAACTTCAATTAGCACAGGTTTTGTCATTCTATTTGGAGCTGATTAGTCATAGGCCTCAATTATCTGAACTTATGCACTTCAGTTGTTGAGTGAACATTGCCAAAATTATCAAAAAATAATGCTTTTTTCAGTGTTCACTCAAAAACAGACGTGCATAAGCTCAGATGATTGAGGCCTATGATCAAAAACTAATACCAAAACCTGTGCTAATTGAAAGAAAACAAGTTGATAAAGATTTGATCCAACGTTTGGTAATAATATAGCATGACTGATTTATAAGTCTTTGTTTGTTTATTTATTTTTGTAGGCCGGTCTTTTTTTGACAACACCAAATTAGTTAAAGGGTTTTCAGAACGGCATAAGGGTTAAATAGAAGTGACCATAAAGTAAAGCTGCAGAAATTTTTTTTTGTCTATGCATTGTGCATGATTTGATTTGATTTGATTTGATTTTTGTGTGTGTGTGCGCGTTTCAATAGAAGGCAAAGGAGTTTGGCTACGACCAGTCTCTTATGGCAAGGTTATGCAAAAGTCTTTATCAGTCAAACCCAGAACTCCATCCCATCCTCCTGCTCAGCGTACAGTACCGCATGCACCCGGACATCTGTGAATTTCCCTCCAAGTACATCTACAACAGCGCTCTCAAGGACGACTGGTATGCACACACGGCTCTTTGTTGGTTTGGAGCGTTTCAACTTGTGTTGAGAGGGAGAGAGAGAGAAGAGAATGGTCTAGAATCAGACTCCTCGTCATGTTTATGATGTGTAGGCAGGGCCAGTGCAGGCAGTATGTTCAGGAGCAGACGGCTATGACCGAGTCTGAATTAAGACTCCTCAGGTCGCTGAGAGGACTGTGTGTGTGGTGAGTGCTCAACACGGTGAGCTGCTTACTGCAAACTCTGCATTCAGCTCACTGTGTATCAGCTTGTGAATCCGTTTATCGTGTACACTAATCCGGTCACTGGTAAGTTCCCAGGCTCACTGCGCATTGGGACAGTGATTTACTCTGTACATAGTAGTCATGCTGCCAGAAACAATGTCAACGGACAACATTGTAGATGTCACTGCTGGTATTAATCGACAGGCAGGACCAATCTCTATTTTTATTCTTTTAAACGCATCGTTCTGTTACATGTTCTTACAACATTTCAGCCAAATTTTAATTCTAGATGTGTTCATTACCTGTCTAGAGATGTGCGTTTATGCTGAAATAAACCCCTTTTTCTTTTCTTTTTTTTCTCTTTAGTATATCTTTTCAAATCTTCTAGCGTGTGTCGTCATGTTTGTTTTGCACTTCAGAAATGTGACGTAATTTCTGGTAAGGTAGCATAGTGAGCATCGATGATCCCTAGTTTTTGTGGTGTATTGTGGGATTTCTCAGGGAGTGCACTGGAACGATTTAGACAGCCCTTAAATGGCTGACTCCCTGATCAGTGCCCTGACTACTGAGCTAGGGAGCTGATTGAGACGCACCCTATACTATCTGCAGATCTCAAGAAACGTGTTCCACTGACACAGATGTTGCCATCCTGTGCAGTTTACGCTCACTTTGCTGTGAAGGTCTATTCATACCGAGAATAAAATGAAAATGCAACGTAAACCGCAGATGAAAGGTGTATTAAACGAGCGCCGCAAAAAAGCACTCCAGATATTCAGATGCTTTATGAAAGGTGAAGTGTGCTGCAGGAAAGATTGGAACTTTTGTGGACATGCTGGGTATCTCTGGCACTTTTGAAGTAGCTTCCAGTTGATCCAGTTGTGATAATGTGACGCAACCTGTGAAGTAGTTGGCAATATCTAGCCCTGTTTATCCAGTGATGGTGAGATTTATAGGAATATTCAGTTGAACAATATGGCTGTAATAGAGGTGTACTTTTTGGTATTTTATCTGGTTTGCAGCAGGATTATCGTAAACAAACTATAAATGAAATGAATTTGAACAGAAATTAAATTAAAAAAGATACTAGATATAAAAATGAAAAATGCACAGCAATTAATGTGAACTAAAACCGAAATGAAAATGGAAAATATAAAAATTTAATCTAATTTAAAAGATTTACAAAAACTAAAATAGTATATCAGTGATACTAAAGTAACAATGGTTTGAAGTACAAAAATAATTAAAACTAAATGAATAAATATATTATATAGACATTAAAATAAAAATTACACGCATGCACAACAAAATGTGAAACCAGAAAATATATATAAATTTATTATATAAATTTAATTAACAAACTAAAATAGTATATCAGTGATACATGACACTGGTGTGCTGAATTTATGGAGCAAATATTCTCTTGGTGTGACTGGCCTTGAATCTTTACGCTGCATTCTGTGATGTAAAGTAGCTTCATGCTAATGCTGCTTTTTATTTATTTTTATTAATAGTTTTGTCTGGCTTCAGTGTTAATACAAAGGGTAACGGTCTTGCTCTTAACAGTCGCAAAAGGACAATTTAGTTGTGCAAAAAATGTCCTAATGCCATTTATCAGGAAGAATGTATTCATTTAAATAAATGGCAAACTGCAAAAATTTTGGCTAGTAATTCATCTGCATTGGGAGGTGTGGCAAAAAATTTAGAATTTGCACCCAAGGTCATCAAGTAGAAATACGGACTTCTGATTTGTGTCCTTTTGTCCCTCAGTGAGACCGCTCAGAAGCGCCGTTCCCTCAGCTGGCCCTTCAAGCCCTACAAAGTGTTCGATGTGACTGATGGGATAGAGAAGAAGGAGAGCGAGTAAGAAAAAGACTTTACTAATTTACTTTTCGTTGTCTGAACAGTTAATTTATTGTTTCTCCATTGGTCAGTTCATTTTCAAACCACAAAGAGGTCAAGTTGGTCTTGCTGCTGTTGAAGCTGCTGGGCAAGAAGCAGTCCGTGCGAGTGGGCGTCATCACGCCCTACAACGCCCAGAAACAACGCATACTGGAAGCCATCAGGGGTTCAGGCATCGACAACAAGCAACTTCAGTGAGTGTTCAGTGTGCAACTTTACTTAAGAAAAGATGTTTTTTATAATCTTTCATCAATGCCATGTTCAACTTCTAAAACAACTTTATTGCAGATTGCCACAAGAAAGAATTAACATTTGCGCTTTTTCAAACTACTTAAAAAAAAAAAAATTTTTTTTTTTAAATGATTACAAATTCATAATATTCCAAACCTTTTGGACCGGTAGTGTGTATATACTTTGTGTATGTACCGTTGAAAGACGTGTAATTGTGTTTTAGGGTTGATGTGGATACTGTCGATGGCTTTCAGGGCAGAGAAATGGACTGCATCATTGTGTCTTGCGTGAGAGCAAGCAGTGAAACTGGTTCCATTGGGTAAGCGTGCATAGTCTATATATCATTCAACTTAAATATTCATGTTGTTGGTTCAAATATTGCATTCCTTTCTTTTTAAGGTTTGTTGGAAATCGGCAGAGAATGAATGTAACCATTACCAGAGCCAGATTTAGTCTCTTCATACTGGGACATCTACGCACCCTCAGGGTAACATGCATGCAGTATTTATACATTCATTTGTCTCGACCCACCACAAGAGGTGCTGTTGTGTACTTCTGACAGCTTTTAATGTGTTTCTGCAGGAACAAAGTGATTGGGGAGCTTTGTTTGAGGATGCTAGGAGACGTAAAACTATAATCAAAACCATGCAAAATGATTTTGAAAGCGACGCCAGGCAGATTCTTAAACAAGAACCGCCGGCCCGCAGTCTTTCTTATCCCCCAATCAGGAGACCAAGCACTGTGACCGCACCTGTTATACATGCACCTGTGGAAACAGGCCCCGCCCCCACGCCCCACCCCCAGCGTGACACGAGCAACATGTCTACGCCGCGGCTAATACCTTTGGTATATCCTAATAACCCACGGACGAATGACAGGCCCACAGACCCACGGTTTGCAGAGCGGCGGCCAATCGGAGAACAGAGACCGGACAGAGATGGGCGGGGCTTACCAAGGTCACGCCACTCCACAAACAGAGCTAATTCATGTGAAGCTGACTCTAGAAGTACTGGCCGGCGTTCCAGATACTTCCAGAAACACCGCGGTTCTTCACCTTCGAGACGACACAGGAGATAAATTAATTATCCCTGTTTTTATTTGTCATTAAAGCTTCACAGCAGTGTATTAAGAGCGAGAGATTATTCTTCCTCATGTCCTCTTCTCCATGTTTTGAGAACCCACTATGCACAAAGGTCATTGTTAAACTCCTCTTTCTCCGGCAATGGCTTAACGGTTAGCTTGACAAATTAGTTTGATGGCAGTGCTTACTGCTCACCTAATCTTGGACTCTTTCTAACGGTCTTTTGCTGCAAAATTAATATTAAAGATCTATTTTATGCATGAAGAGGGATGTTTTGTGTACAACAGATTTTGGTTTTTTTGGACCTTGTGCTTGTCTCCAGAAAATATATATTAATGCAATAACTACACTTTCTTAAGCAGTCGGACTTGCTCTGAAGTAACCATTTCTTTGGGGGTTTGAGTCTGTATAGTTTGTCACTTATTTGAATGTAACATTGATTTAAAGGTTCTTGCAGGAATGGATTCGGTGTGTAAATGTGTTGTGCATAAATGCAGTGCCGTTTGTTTCATTGGTTGTTTTATACTGACTTTTAACATTCTGGTTTATTGTAAAACATACTGGATTATTTTTGATTGAGCTGACTGTTAGAATTTATTTAATTTTTTGGAAGTAGGCTAACTTTGATTATTGTCACTATTCTGGTGGAGAAGAACAGAACCATTATTGCTTAACATTTTAATTTCAAATATAAAATGCCATGTTGCATTTAAGTTATGAATGAAAGTTAAGTTTGAAATTGTACAGTAAAAGTACACAAGCCAGATACCTGGAGACTGCGAGATCGACCCGCTACTTTGGCTTTTTTTTTTCCCCTTGTGTGTGTGTGACCAGTTTTAGAAAAGTGTATGAAGAGGACTTTTGTACAGAACTTGTACAGTTCTGTTTTGTACAGATGCACTTTTTGTAGACCGGAATTAAAAAAAACTCTTCCCTTTTTTTTTTTTTTATTACATTTTGGGTTTAATTTGTATTATAAGAATCCCTGTGCCACTATTATTCTTGATAAACTGCAGAGATGTGAGTGATGCACTAAATCATATAGTCCTTTATCCCCCACTGTTTAGAATTGATAGAAGTACCTTGAAATGGGTGAATTCTACTATAGTAAATGAATGCTAATCAGTCAAAACCATCGTCTGGACACACCACTGTGTCCCCATCTGTACTACACTGTACCACCACCATTAAGGCTCGTTATCTTTCTAACCAGTCATTTCTGACACTCTTTCCTTAAGATCCATAGAGATCAATCCCTCACCCCAATCTTTTAATATTTATTTTTAATATTTGCAATAAGCCCCTGGAGGCTATGGTTTTATTTTACTGTGGTCGAATGACTACTCAAATCTGTCATGCTCTCAAGTGGCTTATTCCTTTAGTGAAATGATGAGGACAACACATAAAAGACACATGTATTATTAGTATTAGTAATCTGAAGGAACAGCTGTTTGGCCATGTAATATAAACATGAAATAATTGTATATTCAGTCAAAGACTTCCAGGTGCCAAAAATTAGACTTTTATAGATTTAAGGAGTATGTGTTGGTGTAAAAATATGCAATAGGGAGTACATGTCTCAGTATTTAGTAATTAGTGAGAACTTGCTTAACCTCATTACAGTGTCTCTAAAATATTGTGCTGTTTAACAACATACCGATTGCTGAAAAAAAGCTCAGTGGACAAAAACTCCCATCAAAAGTTGTTTGGCAAAACTTACATGATTTAGGTCCTTTATATCGTGAGTGCACATTGAAAAGACTGTTAGTTTCTCACTGTTTGCACATAACCACTCTCCTACATGGTTTCTTTATTTGTTTTTAACAGCAGATTAACCATCTTAATTTAGCCCTCTATTAATCTTAACAACAAGCAAGCTATAGTCTGTGTCTGGCATAATTTAAGTGTCCCACAAGGTCTGAAATGCCCCCAAAATTCAAGATCTAAAGTCCCTGGAGGAGTTTTTTTTATTGTTTGTGCTATTTTCACAAATTTCAGCACAATTACAAGAGTGATATTAATTTTAAACTACAGTTAAAAAAGCAGCAAGTTCAATAGACAAGTTGTACTTATTTTAACGACCGACAACATTGTACATTTTGACTCTTTTTGCTGTATATTTCGATCGCCAACGAACATTTCAAGCAAGGCATAACAGTCTATAAACATCTTCTTGAACGATTCAGCGTTTTACAACGATTCAATAACCCAGTCATAAAATGTTGTGTGTTTACTTGCTTCATTTCTGAGTGAATCAGACGGTTTGAACGAATCGGTTTAATGAATGACTCTATGGTTCGCTTATTAGGAGGCTTTAGTTTTGTTTTCCCCCAACATTTCATTATTCTATATTCAAAATGATCATTTTAAAACATTATTTATGCAATGTGTATCATTATTTATGCAATTGTAATTGCAGTGTAAATGGATTTTGATAACTGGTAAGGTGGATTTTCTTTAAATTCATATACACTTAGCTACATGAATTAAAGAATATATGATCATATCTGGTGTTTTAAGGAGAGGGAAGAAACCCATTTTTAAATTAGTAGTAGTAAAATGTGCAGCATCTGTTCCACCACTAGGGGGCGCAATGCTTCTAGATTTACACCGGTTTGCCCCAGTTTTAGGTATATTATTCTCCCTAAATCAGGACTGTGCAGGTCCACATAATGTGTGGCCAAAAACCTCAGTAAAAATCTTTACAGATTTGCACAGAAAAATCTACCCAACATACAACTCAAATTCAACAGTTCAGTTTGGTTCAATCTTATTCACCTGTGAAATGCAGTTGTATTTGTGTTGCTAGAAGGCTTTCTGGTGGAACCATGATTACATTTACCTATATAGGAAATAAGTTTACTTTACATAGTGTATGCTATTATTTATGTGCTATTGTTTAAAATCATTATGTGTTTAAAAGGATCATTTATAATGTGACTTACACTGTAAACAATTCAGAAAGCACAAACCTCTAGATGAGCCACTCTCATTACCATGATCACCTATTATTACCTATTTGTAAGCACATCATGATTATAATCATGTTTCTATCTAAAGGTGGTGAGAATGAAGCGTTGGACTCATAAAGACCCCTCTTGACGTATCCTCCCTGTGTGCGCTATTGATATTCTGAGGAAGGTAGTAATCAATGCCCGCTGACTAAGGTAAAAGCTTGATCCTCTCAGGTGCAGGACACTTTGCTACTGTGACGTGACGCAGCATGTTTCTCTCATCAGGAAGATGCCGGCTCAGCAAGGCCTGGAATCTTGCTTTTGTTGTAGTTTTGCATTATTGGAGCAGCATCCTGTTTGTTGTCTCACTGGCTCGGGTGTCATTTTCAGATATTTCATAAAGCCAGTGACCGCATAGACCAAAGTAAATATAAAACTCTCTCTGGGTTCCTCTACAACTGTTACATAAAAGCCAGTAGAAGATATGATTGGGTCACTCATACCATGCTCTCTTAATAGAGTGGATGAAATAACTCAATTCTTAAAGATAGAAATCATATTAGGTAGCTTTTATAGTCACAATATTATTAATTAAATGAATTTTAATTAATTATATCTGTTGATTTAAGTGCATGTTGCAATTTTTGTCATGGGACATGTTCTTCTCTAATTAGTAACATGATAAACTGACAATTAATTAAAGGGGTCAGCATACTTTTTTAAAAGTTCAAAAGGACTGAGTTTTAGAATTCATATAAATTGACTATGCTTAATTTATGTGTTTTTAAAGTTATTGTCAGGAAAAAAGTTATGGTTATGAAATGTGATGAAGAAGAAATGATCCACACAGAAACAACTCAAACGTGGCTAAGTAACAGTCACATTTACTGTAAGATTTACAGTGTCATAACATTTCATTCAGTTTTTTTTTAGTTTTGTAAATCTGTTAACCCTAAAGTGTAATAAACCCCACCCCATACATTTCAGTAGAGTTTGCCATCTAATAAATTCTGCTTGGTACATTAAGTGTGTAAATTCATCCTCGGTAATACCTGACAATGTAAACCATACCTTATAGATTCTCATACATGTGCTGTAAAGTTTACAGAGTAATAAAACTTCTGCCTCTTATGTAGATCCAAAACAAAAATATTCTCTACCAAAAATAGTCAAATAATGTGGATTTATAATAATTCCATTTGATTAGATATCTTCTCTTGTGAGTTGAATAGCGTGTTCGTGTCCTGAATACTTCATAAATATCAATGATCTCTAACTGTGGCGACAAACATTCCTATAACAACCAGCGGTACAGTGCCTAAAATCTTAATAGTCATGATATAACACAATAATATCATACTCTTTGCTTTTTAGCGAATAGCAGTGAGCGCTCGTTACATACATCTGAATGTTAAAAACTGCAGCAAGGGAGTGTAAAAAACACCATGAAGCTGGACCTTTCCAGAAAACATCGTACAGTCGCCGATCACTGTGAGGACACGACCCCTACGCTGACCAATCAGAGTGAAGGAAGTGCGGTTTGTATTACATTTTGCAGCTATTGCACAAGAAGCTCACTTCTTGTTGATTGTGTGTGTGTGTAGTGTGTGTGTTTTTGGTATTATTCGTCCTCAGCGTATATGTGAGGCGCACATTTTGAGTTCTGTTGATTTCCAGCTCTACGAGAGTCTTTGTTTCTCGTTCTTGTTGTCCTGCAGGGCGTTCTGCACCCTGTAGAGGGCGAAGCTGAGCATCTGGCCCTCTCGGTGCCCGCTGGTGGGGAAGCAGGGGTCTCTCAGGAGGCGGCGGAGCCCAGCAGGGTGGCGAGGAGCGGGCAGAGCAGAAGTGCCAGGCTCAGCGTGAGTGCACTGGCACCGTTGCACTTTTTGCCTCCGTCGCAGCGCGACTGTTGGCACAAAACACCCTTAAAGTCCGGCGTACAGCTACAGCGTTGATTCTGAACGCACGTCCCCCCGTTCTGACACAAGAGTAACTCATCGTCACACACGTTTGCTGTGGAGAGCATGAGGAAAAAGTTATGTACAAGTTATGTTCAAGCAAATACACCCTGTTTTTCTTAGACTAGTTTGGAATAATTCAGATTTTTTAAAATTCCATGCATTTATTTGATCAAAAATACAGTAATATTGTGAAATATTATTACAATTTAAAAGAAACATTTTCTATTTGAATATATTTTAAAATGTAATTGATTATTTTTAGCCTTCAGTGTCGCGTGATCCTTCAGAAATCATTCTAATATGCTGTTTTGCTGCTCAAGAAACATTTCTGGTTATCAAAACATCTGTGCTGCTTCATGTTTTTGTGGAAACCATGATACAATATCATTCAAAAGATTGAGGTAATATGTAAAAAAAAAAGAAAGAAAGAAATTATTACTTTTATTCAGTGAGAACGCATTAAATTGATCAAAAGTCACAATAAAGACATTTATAATGTTATAAAAGATTTCTATTTCCAATCAATTAACTTTCTATTCATCAAAGAGTCCTGAAACTAAGTGTAATACAGTTTCCACAAAAATAGGAAGCCGCACAACTGTTGATAATAATGAGAAATGTTTCTTGAGCAGCTAATCAGTATATTAGAATGATTTCTGGAGGATCATGTGACACTGAAGACTGGAGTAATGATGCTGAAAATTCAGCTTCACATCACAGCAATAAATTACATTTTACAATAGAAAACAATTATTTTAAATTGTAAAAAAAATATATATTTCACAACATTACTGTTTTTATCCTGGTGACGATAAGAGACTTCTTTTAAAAACATCAAAGAATATACATTTTTCTTTTGGCCGGTTGTGTGTGTGTCTTACTCACTCAGCCATGATCATTTGCTTGGTGGCTTGTATCTGTGTCATATTTAACATGGGTGTCATTAAAAAGCCACATTGGGTCGCAGTAGTCTGGGTACTAATGAGACCAGGTGCTGTACACCTGACCCCAAACTGTCTCAGCAGTGAACAATGAGTGTGTGTGTGTGTGTGTGTGAGAAAGGACAGAAAATGATAAAGAGGAGGATGACTATGGCAATGTTCAGAATACCATATACCTTTTCTGTTTCTGCAGTATACACTGCATAGAATACCTGGATGACCTACTACTACATTGCAATGAGCAGTGTATCCCACAATGCAACATGCTCTACTTGACCTTCCATTTCCAGTGACAAATTAATGGTAAGTAATATTAGTCACAGTATTTATCTTTTTTTTTTGTCTCATTTTACATAGAATTTGGCTAAAAATGCAAAATAATAAGGATGATATGGAATTAATAATATATGTGACAACAATGTAGCATATAGAGTGCAGTAGTCGGGTTAAGTAAAACTTCCATTCATTTTCTCCAGAGGGGAAGTGATTTTTAACAATAACTTATAAACCTTTCAAAACAGACCTACTGTGAGCTGCAAAGTTGTTAACGATGGTATATAATTTTGTTGAAGCCATCAGCTGCATTATCTTATTTTTAAAATAATTGTTTAACAGTGGAATTCCTAGAGAAAAACTACATTACCCATGATTCTGCAATTAAATCTCCACCAATCAGAGAGCTGCAACAAGCAAATTGTGCAAAAATAATACTTAGCGCCCATCCACTCCAATGAAATTACTTATACTGCACATAATTAATTAAGCTTTAAGTATGCTGTTCTGAACATAACCTATAAAAAGACTGTGTATGTGAAGGGTTAAATTGTCAAATTTGTTTTTTTTTTGCAAAACTGAAAAGGTCATGAGATTGTAATACAAAAAGTTCTAAAAGACTTAGCCCAAACTATGTAAAAACTTACTCCGTTAACCAAACAGTTCATTCTCTGCATTTACTAGAACCAGTAAATACTCGCTGCATGCAGATCCACTAAACCCAAGAACAAAACAAATCTATTTGAAGAAAGTGCCTAATCCAGCTCCGGAAGTGTGTCCCTGATGGATTCTCCTCTGTTTTCTCTCCTCACAGAGCTAGCAGTTTTGGCCATGGGCCTGTTTCATCTTAAAGATGGATCACGTGGAAAACGCTGTGTGCAGGGCTTCTAAAATCACCATGGGAATCCAGGTACAAATGTGATCATTACCCCACAAACCAGTTTCCAATGAACAAGGGCTGCTTAAAATCCACACGGCAGCACATCATTTGAATACACAAATAGCCAAACCCATTAGACACCAGTAATATGCTGTTTTGATGTGCGGTAAATGTCTAATACATCGTGATATGGGGTTAGACTCCTGTCAAATCAAATGAATCCCGCCCTCTTTATTTTGAGACCACACCCCTTTTTTGTGCCAAACAACTTGGAACCAATTCCAATGTTTGAATCAAAAGCCGTACAATTTTTAAAACGGTCACTAGTAGCACAGTGGCAAAATGTGCCATTGCTGGTAGAGATGGTGTATCTACACATTAGAATCACAATAATCCACAAAATGGATTTGTTTCTTACAAACACAAAGCTTTTCACTTCACAAGGCATTAACTGATGGACTGGAGTGGTGTGGATTACTTGTGGATTATTGTGATGTTTATATCAGCTGTTTGGACTCTCATTCTGACGGCACCCATTCACTGGAGAGGATCCATTGGTGAGCAAGTGATGCAATGCTACATTTCTCTAAATTCCCATGAAGAAACAAACTCATCTGTATCTCGGATGGCCTGAAGGTGAGCAAATTTTCATTTTTGGGTGAACCATTCCTTTAAAGCATCTTTCTCCTTTCTGGCTTGTATCTGTGTCATATTTAACATGGGCTTATGGCGTCATTAAAAAGCCACAATGGGTCGCAGAAGTCTGGGTACTAATGAGACCAGGTGCTGCACACCTGACCCCAAACTGTCTCAGCAATGAACAATTGAGTGTGTGTGTGAGAAAAAGGACAGAAAATGATAAAGAGGATGATGACTATGGCTATGTTCAGAATAGCATACTACTCCATGCACTATGCATATCATACCTGGATAACCTACTACTACATTACACTGCACTGAGCACTGAATCCCACAGTGCAACATGTCTGACTTGACCTTCAATTTCCAGAGTGAAGAATTAATTGTAAGTAATATTTGTCACAGTGTTAATTTTTTTATGGTATAAGATTTCAGTGGATTTCTCAGTAAAAAAACTACATTACCCATGATTCTGCAGGTAAATCTCCACCAATCAGTGAATTGCAACAAGCAAATTGTGAAAAAATAACACTCAGTGCCCATCTACTCCCATGAAAAGACTTTAAAAATAGTAGGCAGTGTATTGTGTATAATATAGATAATTAAGCTTTAAGTGTGCCGTTCTGAACATAACCCAGGAAAAGACTGTGTATGTGAAGGGCTAAAATTTTTGCAAAACTGAAAAGGTCATGAGATTGTAATACAAAAAGTTCTGAAAGACTTGCCTAAACTATGTAAAAACTTATTCCATTAACCAAACGGTTCATCCTCTGCATTTACCAGAGCCAGTAAATACTCGCTGCATGCAGATCCACTAAACCCAAGAACAAAACAAATCTATTTGAAGAAAGTGCCTAATCCAGCTCCGGAAGTGTGTCCCTGATGGATTCTCCTCTGTTTTCTCTCCTCACAGAGCTAGCAGTTTTGGCCATGGGCCTGTTTCATCTTAAAGATGGATCACGTGGAAAACGCTGTGTGCAGGGCTTCTAAAATCACCATGGGAATCCAGGTACAAATGTGATCATTACCCCACAAACCAGTTTCCAATGAACAAGGGCTGCTTAAAATCCACACGGCAGCACATCATTTGAATACACAAATAGCCAAACCCATTAGACACCAGTAATATGCTGTTTTGATGTGCGGTAAATGTCTAATACATCGTGATATGGGGTTAGACTCCTGTCAAATCAAATGAATCCCGCCCTCTTTATTTTGAGACCACATCCCTTTTTCGTGCCAAACAACTTGGAACCAATTCCAATGTTTGAATCAAAAGCCGTACAATTTTTAAAACGGTCACTAGTAGCACAGTGGCAAAATGTGCCATTGCTGGTAGAGATGGTGTATCTACACATTAGAATCACAATAATCCACAAAATGGATTTGTTTCTTACAAACACGAAGCTTTTCACTTCACAAGACATTAACTGATGGACTGGAGTGGTGTGGATTACTTGTGGATTATTGTGATGTTTATATCAGCTGTTTGGACTCTCATTCTGACGGCACCCATTCACTGGAGAGGATCCATTGGTGAGCAAGTGATGCAATGCTACATTTCTCTAAATTCCCATGAAGAAACAAACTCATCTGTATCTCGGATGGCCTGAAGGTGAGCAAATTTTCATTTTTGGGTGAACCATTCCTTTAAAGCATCTTTCTCCTTTCTCTGTCATTCAGAATTAGAATTAATTCCACAGTGTAAAAATGTATGACTGCAAGCTAGAACTAGTATAATATAATATTATTTACACTGTAACTTATTTCAAATGGCTTTTGGAAACAAAAGCCTTGTAAAGGACTGAGCCAATTAATATCTTATTTAAACTCGAAATTGGCTGAGGAGAATGGAGAGGCGATTGCACACTTTGACATTGATTTGTTAATTAGATTAGAGAGTTGAATGATGTCTGATTAGGAATAGGTTAATAAATCTGGGATGTACTTACGAAAACAACCCTGTTTCCAGTAGTAACCGGGGAGACATTCATCACATTTGACTCCGTTAGTGCCTTCTTTACACTGACAGAAGCCAGTTCCATTACAGCGGTCGTGCAATGAGCCCATCGTATTACAGTTACACTCTGAAAAGTAAGAGAGAGAATTAGTTAGGGGAAAAGGGTTGAACTTTTACTAAATTATGTGTGCCAAAAAGGCTCAATGGGTTTCCTTGTTATTTAATTGGTTGGTTTTGCTGTTGACAGTTCTGCTTGCATTAAAGGGGTCATATGATGCGATTTCAATTTTTCCTTTCTCTTTGGAGTGTTACAAGCTCTTGGTGCATAAAGAAGATGTGTACAGTTGCAAAGACTAAAGTCTCAAATCCAAAGAGATATTCTTTATAAAAGTTAAGAATCAGCCCCGCCTACCTAAAACGGCTAGTTCTAACACGCCCCCACATACCTACATCACGATGTGGGCTGATTTGCATAATGCCGCCCAAATGTTCACGCAAAGAAAGAAGGCGTAACTTTTATTCTCGCTGTAGTATTGTTGTTGCCGCCGCCATGACGTGAAGGCGCTGTGTTTCGTTGTGAAAGCGGTTTGGTCTTCCAAAAGAGGACGATATCTGCTTAGTCATGCCTGGAGCTGATCCGTGCTGGTTGAAATACATCAACTTTGCTGTGGATCGCCGGATCGGCTTTCACCGTGGACGAAGCGGAGTCCAGCCTGGGGTCGTCACATGTGGTTGCCGCAAGCCCGCCGGACGCTCCTTCATCGAATCCGCCGGCCGTTCCTCACTCTAGCCTGCCATGTGTGACGCTGTGTGTTTCATTGTGAAAGAGAAACTACTTTGTTTGGCCTTCCAAAAGAGGACACAACTAGAAATCAGTGGTTAAGTTGTATTTACAACACTGTTCCAGAACAGTTCAACCCAAATATTCAGATGTGTGCAGCACATTTTGTGGAGGATGAGGACTGTTTCCTGTGAGAGTAGCCTACAATGCCGGCTGTTCTGACTCACAGACTGTAAGTACGTTTTTTATATTTAAATAATTTGCCACTAACGATTCAAACGCGAGTTTTGAGCAGTGTAGAGTAGCACTAGTTGTTTGTCGTTTCTCCCATCACAAATGCAGACATGATTTTATGTTTATGTGGCGCGATATGCAACGCAACGCTTAAAAAGACAGTATGAGTCATTATAATCTGTAATTATGTCCCCACTGGATGCAACAAATGCCTCGTTTGTAATGGATTTTATTGTTTTTGTCTTGTCGCGCCGGGATACAGGGCATCACATTATGGTGAGGGGCGTAACATTTCCGTCACACGCTTGAGGTATTCAGCCAATCACAATGCACTGGATAGCTGACCGATCAGAGCTTTTCAGACCGATGAGCTTTGTAAAAATTGATGCGTTTCAGAAAGGCGGGGCATAGAGGAGCAACAATAATGTACATTATGTGGAAAATAATGTGTTTTTTTAACCTTAAACCGCATAAACACATTTCATTACACCAAATACACAAAATAATGTTCTTTTTAGCAATGTCATATGACCCCTTTAATGTTGCTATGCACATATGACATGGCGTTTTCTTGCATGCACTTGAGGCCATTATATTTATTCATAAAAATGTCATCTTAGTGCATACTTAAGCTTTATTTGCATTGTGAAAAAGCATGCTATTTGTTTATATTGAGAAGTGGATTTTAATGGCGGATGCCAATATCTTAAAGAGCAGGGTGGCCAATGAACAATATACCGCTAAACTAATTAAGACGGAGAATGGGAGTTCTGTGCATTCAGGTGCTGGCATTCCAGTGCTGTCAAAATGCCAAAAAAAATCCCAAATATTGGATGATATATCAGTCGGCCATTTAATATTGAGCAACAGTATCGTTTTATGTTGTGTTGTGATCGTTTTATCGTACTGTGATGGATCGGCTGCTTCTCCCCTTATTATCATCATCACCTCGTCCCTTAAACGCCGCCCTCCAGGTTCCCGACAGAAGTGGGTGTGTGAGAGAGGAGGGCCGCAGAAACACTCAAGGCTGGCGGCATGTGATGAGGCACACCTGAAGTGAATGGAGCCTCGTCACCGCTGCCGCTAAATGCCGAGCATTTGAATGAATGTATATGCTTCGCATTATATCTTAATTAACAGTAGGAAGCTCTTGAAAATTTTGTTAAACTTGGAAGAAATTTGGCATTAATCGTAATAAATTTTAATTGTGAATATTGATGGTACAGTTTAGTTTGTATGCATTTTGTGCACTGTTAACAAAAAATATCACCAAAGTGTGCCAGAAAACACTAATTTAGCTGGTTTGTGAAGAGACAGACCTGACCAGACTGCATTTCCCATCACTTTGGTTACCTAAAAATAACTGGGTATAGAGTGCTGTAGGGATGATGTGTTTTAGCACTTCCAGTTCCATCATCATGAAATCAGTGGGTTTTGGGTAAATGGCTGAAATAAGGTCTGTGGTCAACACAAGCTCAAAATAGGTAAAATTGGTAAAAGATGTGTTCATTAGTGAAGACAGGCTTTCTGCTGGTCTTGAAAAAGGTTGTAAAACGGTCTTAATTTGCCCTTCCACAAATGATGGCCTTAAAATGTCTTAATAGAAAATAAACCTTTAAAAAGTCATGGCATTAAGTTTTGCATACAATGCAAAAAAAAAAAAAAGCAAATCTAAACATCCTTAAATCAAGATGAGTGTTGAATCCGTGTATCATTCGATCATTCAATTTTTGATTTAATATTGAAAGTAAAAAAATGAGAAAACGGCTCCTTTTTCATTTTTTTTTTCCATAAAATGAAAAACGAGAATTCAGCTTAAATTTTCGTTTTTTGTTCATGGGTGGAAAAATGAATAAACAGCTTGAATATTTGATTTCTACATGTGGGCGGGAATTAAACCCCCCTTTCTGCTGATTGGTCAGCAGAAGATCAAACCGTGCCATCATCAGTTCTTCCGCAGTATCATGCAGCAGAATAATAGTCCTCCACTGCTGCAGTTGTATGGATTAATAACCCATTTTATCAATTTCATATTTTTCTCATCAAACAGACTAATGAATAGCTCGACACAACTCGTACCGGGGCAGAGTCTAGACAGGGCTTTCTTCTGTGTAGACCAGCAGTTCTTAAAGTGATCGGGGGTCCAAGAAATAATATAGCCTTAATATTGCTATAGCCTAAAGTATTTCCAGACTGTAAAGTCGCTTTTTTTATCATGATACATAGGCCTACTGTGATTTATTCCAAAGTGACTTATATGATGCATTTAATGTAAAATAATCTAAATTAAGCCTTTTAAAAGACGAGTATTCCCTGTGGTTCATGTTTGTGAAAGATGCTCAGCTGATGCAAAGAATAGAATTTATATCTACACAGAAGAAAACCCTGTCTAGACAATGCCCCGGTACGAGTTGTGTCGAGCTATTCATTTGACTGTTTGTTTGATGAAAAAAAGATTAAATGTAGTTGCAATAAATGCATTAAGAATCCATACAACTGCAGCAGCTGAGGACTATTATTCTGCTGTGTGATATTTAAGCTGAAATCTTATTTCGTTTTCTCATTTTTCTACTTTCAATATTAAATCAAAAAACGAATGATCGAATGATACACGGATTGTTGTGTTCCCTTCAATTTATTCCTTAAATTGTATTTATTTGGTCTTATAAAGGTCTTAATAAAGTCTTAAATGTATCTTCTGCAGAAACCCTGAAGATTATTGTGATGAACAAAATGTGTATGAATCATAACAGAGCTTATTTTTTTCAATAAATAAAAGGCAATGGAAAAATCCTATTGGTTTTTGTTGAGGAAACCAGGGTGATGCTAACTTGTGCTTCAGCCTACAAAAATGCATTGTTAATCTCACAAAAGATATAATGTATTGCATAACTTTTAAAGTGTATTGTAACTGTAAATTAATTATGTTTTATTATTTTTAGAAACTATGCACTGATATTTTTATACACGTCAGTATTTTGCATTGGGCTGCAGCCAACTGCATTAGAACAAATTACTGCACTTCTGTGAGAACTCCTGAAAATAGACACTGCAAACTCAGTGCTATTGTGAGCTCAGGATGAGATAAATGTTCTCCTCATGGAGATCTTGGTGTTGACCCTGTGCCATGTTGTCACCTGCCGCACACCCGATGAGGGCGAGTTGGTTTGTGCTGACTTCACAGCATGCTTTCATTTACCCCGCGCCCTGCCTCCTCTTGCAGCAGATGGACTCCCTTCTCCATCCTGGTACTCTCAGCGTCGCGCTGATTTAAGAGCTGTCACATCCGGGTTTATTTCTGGAAGTTTACTTGAGCACCGCTGGGAATCTCTAATATGACGCTCACAGGATGATAATGTTGCAGTTTAACTTTGCTGACCGTGACGTCCAATGCAGTTTTGTTTCATCTTGCATTTTTTCCTTGTTCCCTCTTTTAGTTGTCTGTGTATAACTTTCTCCTGATTACATCCTTAGTATTTTTCTCGAGCTACGTCTCTTTTTGTGTGGGTGTGTGTTGCTGACAGGGCGATATCTCACACACTCTTACGGGAGTCTTTCCCACACCTTGTGCACGTGTGTGTGTGTGTGTGCATGTGCTCCGGGGCTGTTGGAAAATCTGATGACAGATGTTTTCTCTCAAACAGTCTTCTGAAGCAGATCTTTTTTGTCAAACTGCTGGTTTCTCCCATTTCCCATTCACACCTGTCCTGTATCTTTCTCTCATGTCTGTTTCTTTCTGTCACTCACAGCGAATCAGTGTCTATTGCGTCAGTAAACCATGTTCAGTGTCGCCCCTTTTTGAGAATCTGAGCCAGTGCCTGCCAAGCGTTATATGGCACTTTGACCTCCACATGACGGATACAAGGTTCTAAGTAGTTTGAAAGTGGAGGTGTACATATTAAGATGTATTTCTGGGCAAGGATGCACTTAAGTGATCAAAAGTGACAGTAAAGACATTTATAATGTAATTATAATTAAGATTTCTATTTCAAATCAAATATCAGCATATTAGAATGATTTCTGAAGGATCATGAGACGCAGAGGACTGGAGTAATGATGCTGAAAATTCAGCTTTGATCACAGAAATAAATTACATTTTACTATATATTCACAATATATTCAGATAGTTAACAGTTCTTTTAAATTGTAATAATATTTCATAATATTACTGTTTTACTGTATTTTTGCTTAAATAAATGCGGCCTTGTTGAGCAGAAGGAACATCTTTATAATTAAAAAATCTTAACAAACCCAAACTTTTGAATGGTAGTGTATTTTTATATATATATATACAGTATATAGAGAGAGAAAGAGAGCAAAAATTATTTCAAATATTTATGAGCACTTTAAAAGCTAGAGAGCGAGAACTCAGTACAGAGCCTGTCTCAGCACACAGGAACAGGCAAATCAATTAAATATAAGGCTACGTTAAATGGAAACGTTTTTCCCTTGAGTTTTTAAAAAGTTTCACATATACACGACAACGCTTTCAAAACAATTCGCGTTTACATATATTTGCGAAAACGGCCAAAAACGCTGTATTACGTATGCCAGGCCAGTAGGTGGCGCTTGTTAGTAAACAGTACCTGTAGGGAAGTGACAATTATATGTTGAATATGATGCGTCTCCGCTGTTGGTTGTAATATTGGTAAAGTAAATCCACACTTTGCTGAAGAAGCGTTAGCAAACTCTTGAGCAGCAACAACAGTACCATGCACTCCGCCGTTGTTGAGTATGTTTGTTTGCGCTTGCCTTTAAAACCGACACGTACTGCGCATGTCTACATACCTAACACGTACTACAAAAAAACGAACACGTACTACGCACGTGCATGACTTCACCGTTTTCAAAGATTCCCGTTTTGGGTGTTTACACGGAAACGATAACGGTGGTGTTTTCAAAAACTTTGAAACCCGTTTTCAAATATATGCGTTTTCAGTCCCCAAAACGCCATTGTCGTGAAAAACGAACAGGAAAAACATATAAAAAGTTTCCCGTTTTTGGCTGAAAACGTTGTCGTGTGAACGGCCCCTAAATGAGCGTTACACACACACACACACAAGCTGATCACAACACACTTACCTTAGATATCATGCATATAGAGAGAAGCAGGGATGGAGGGATTGAGAGTTAGAATGCTGGAGACAGGAAGTGACATGTTGAGAAACATCAAACTCAGCAAGTCTTTAGTTTTTGAACTCTCAACATCACGTGTTGTAGAACTTTCTAAAGTACTAGCCTTTACTTCACATCTCCATTGTAACATGTTCTAGAACGCTTCACAGTTACTGTACCACTATTGAACTAAAGCGCAATTATATACCTTAGTCAGGTTAGACGGCATTATGAAAACAAGGCTATGAATGATAGACTTACAGTATTACAATGGTATGCGCTGTATGAAGGTTCTAGATCAGGGGTGGCGAACTCCGGTCCTGGAGAGCCGCAGCCCTGCAGAGTACAGCTCCAACCCTAATTAAAACTTACCTGCCTGTAGCTTTCTGGTAACCTTTCAGACCTTGATTAGCTTGTTCAGGTGTGTTTGATTAGGGTTGAAGCAAAACTCTGCAGGGCTGCGGCTCTCCAGGACTGACGTTCGCCACCCCTGTTCTAGATCATAAGTAATTTTCACAACTCACAACTTTCAAAGCTGTTTTGTGGAGTTTTTGTCTACTGAAAGTCTTTTGGAAAGATGCTTGGTCATTTGACAATCGGTATGTTGTGAAACAACAGTACAATCCATTGAACACACTGTACATTTGTCCCTCACATCCTTGTTTTCATTCCTCTCAAAAATTAAATATGACGATACCCCAGGGCCATCGCTAGGAATTCTGGGCCCTGTGCAATGAAATTGCTATAGGGCCCCCTCAAAATCACGTTCAGTGGTGGGTTCGCGATCCCTCCCCATGGACCCCTGTTACTCAGTTCCAATATTACTCCCTGCCCGACGCCCCTGCGATACCCTGACTAAGGTCTATTGAAAAATTAACAAATGCGGCAGCATGAACTTTCTACAGTACATTGATGAAAGCATCTGCTAAATGAAAAATGAAAATTAATCCGGAAACACTCTAACGTGTAGTTACTTAGTGCTCCTAAACAACTCACGGTTCCACTCAACTCATTAACTAGAGTTAAAACACGTTACATTGTTTATGAGTTGTATGGAACTAAGGTGAGTTCTAGAACCCATTCGTGTTCGAGTCGAAGGTTCTACAATCTAGAATGTTACTGTTCCCTTCCAGTCATAAACGCTGTAATGTATTCTATCGAGAACGCTCCCTCATTCTTGTAAATATTGTGACATTGTACTTTGAATTCTCTTTCTTCCTTTTCTCCGCTCATTTTCGTTTCTTTCTCACCTTTGAAGTCGTCATATATGATGCCTTTTAGCTGTACAGTCTGTTGCCCTCCAGATAGTAAGAACTTCAGAAGAGCTTTGGAAAATGAAAAGTCTTATTTTATAACCTTTATCTAGAAACCTACTACAACTAGCAAAGCAAAGCAAATCGAGTCAACTACAACCAAATCTCCAGCTATCAGTCCACACAGTTAAGGGAGGGCAACTGAATCATTGTTTGAAACATTTAACAGGCCCAAAAATTCACTACCAAGCATGTGTACTCTAATATATTCAACCTAAAGTGGCATACTACAGAGGCTAATGCAGCTCCTTGTTAATGTTGATTCAAACAACTACAATGCATATGCAGTGATAGACTTCACCAGCCACAAAGCACTCTTAAGTCTACCTCACAGCAGGGATACCTTTTTTATTCTCTTCATCTTCTCTCTCCCACTTATGGATGGGTTTTACTTCATCCTCTCCTTTACTGTGCTCATTTGAGTGCTTGTGTGGATCTAGACGAGCAAGGAGAAGGACTGAGCAATCCCTAGGTTTGTACTACATTCTATACGACAGGCCGACTACCAGTTGAGCCATACCTTCAACAGCTGTGCGTTTATGAGACCCTTCCTCCTCCTCTTCTTTTGTCTTTCCTTCTTCTGACTCCTTTGATTTCTCTAGTTCTGGCTTTCGATCCACATGTCTTGGTCCTGAGATATGATGCTTTGATACTGTTTCATGTGGCATGTGTACTGTTGAAATCGTCTCTAATTTTGGCAGCACAGATCCATGCATTGTCTCAACAGACTCTGGTACTAGTTCATGAGACTCCCTTTTTGGCTGAGTCGGTATGTGTCTATGAGATTCTAATATTGATTCATGAGGTTTCACTGTTGGCTCATGAGGTTTATGCATTGCCTCATGATGATGTACTATTGGTTCATGAGGTTTATGCATTGCTTCATGATGATGTACTGTTGGCTCATGAGGTTTATGCATTGGCTCGTGATGATGTACTATTGGTTCATGAGGTTTATGCATTGCCTCTTGATGATGTACTGTTGGTTCATGAGGTTTATGCATTGCCTCATGATGATGTACTATTGGCTCATGGGGTTTATGCATTGCCTCATGATGATGTACTATTGGTTCATGAGGTTTATGCATTGGCTCATGATGATGTACTATTGGCTCATGAGCTTTCACTACTGGCTCATGAGGGTTATGCATTGCCTCATGATGATGTACTATTGGTTCATGAGGTTTATGCATTGCCTCATGATGATGTACTATTGGTTCATGAGGTTTATGCATTGCTTCATGATGATGTACTGTTGGCTCATGAGGTTTATGCATTGGCTCGTGATGATGTACTATTGGCTCATAAGGTTTATGCATTGTCTCATGATGATGTACTATTGTCTCATGAGGATTATGCATTGCCTCATGATGATGTACTATTGGCTCATGAGGTTTATTGATTGCCTCATGATGATGTACTATAGGCTCATGAGGTTTATGCATTGGCTCATGATGATGTACTATTGGCTCATGAGGTTTATGCATTGGCTCATGATGATGTACTATTGGCTCAT